GACTCTCATTCTGACGGCACCCATTCACTGCACAGGATGTAATGCTAAATTTCTCCAAATCTGTTCCAATAAAGACAGAAATTCACCTACATCTTGAATGGCCTAAGAGTGAATTAATTTACAGCATCTTTTGTTAATTTTTGGGCAAACTATAGTTAGGATGTCAAAATAAATCAGCCTATCAACTTTTAAAAGGGAGAAGAAAACACTTCTCACATCTTTTGGCAATAGTATGTTAAGTTCACTGTGATATTTATAAATTTGTTTTATTTTAAGGAGCTTTTTGTTTACTTTTGTAGGATAAAAATCTTTGCTACTGTGCCACTTGATGCTCAATGAAATACTTGAAGCAAGTTGAGATGATGTCACCTTATGTCAGTCATTTGTCAAGTTAAAAATTAATAACTCATATCAATGGTTTTGAAACAGGGAGTCCTCTTTGCATCATTCTGATCAAACCCAATGCATGTGGTAAGTCCTGTAATACAAGATGCAGCTGCAGTTATTCCTGTTGGAGTCTGAGGCTGGTACAGGCTGTGCCGAACTGCAGTTGAGCTGCCTCTCTCTTGGCTTGCTAGCGCTGTTCTCAAATCAATTCTCTCTCACTGCACAGACCTGACAGCTCAACCAGAGACTCATGTGTTCTATCTCTGCCAACAGCTCAAAAGTGTAATAAACACACTGGAGTTCGAAAATGGCATTCTTTAAAACGAGTTAGCTCAAATGATCTTAAAGGTGCATTGAGTACTTTTTCTCACTTAAAAAGAATAAAGTAAAAAAGAATAATGCTATCACAGCCTAAAATGTCAAAAATGATATACACATGAGACGAATACTATGCAGTTTAAATCAGTCTTGGGTGACAAATATATTACCATGCAAAACTTTGGTGTTGGTAAGATTTTGTTTGTTTTTGAGACTCTTATACTCACAAAGGCTGCATTCATTTAACCAAAAATACAGTAAAACTTTCTATTTTAATATATTTTAAAATGTAATTTATTTCTGTGATGGCAAAGCTGAATTTTCAGCAGCCATTACACCAGTCTGCAGTGTCACATGATCATTCAGAAATCATTCTAATGCTGATTTCTGCTCAAGAAACATTTTTATCTTATCATTAAGATGAATTTTCAGCAGCCATTACACCAGTCTGCAGTGTCACATGATCGTTCAGAAATCATTCTAATGCTGATTTCTGCTCAAGAAACATTTTTATCTTATCATTAAGATATTATTATTATTATTATCAATGTTGAAAACGGCTGTGCTGTTTACATTTTTTGTGGAAACGGTGATACATTTTTTTTCAGGACTCTTTAATGACTAGAAAGTTCAAATGAACAGCATTTATTTGAAATAGAAATCTTTTGTAACATTATAAATTTCCTACCGTCACTTTTGATGATTTCAATGTGGCCTTACAACTTCTGGACAGTAGTGTACACTTGTCAACAGGATATTCTACAATGGCATCTTTAATGAAAACTTTTGCTTTGGTGTGATGCTGCCAATGTATATCAGTATAAGGTTGATCAGTGTACCTCTGATCATTACCACTGACTTGCACCTTTTACTGTTGATAACACATTTCTTAAAGCTGAAATGCATCTTTTTTTGCCCAATAGTGTCCCCAAGTGGAAATGCAAAAATAAAGACTGACCACTCCTCTGCCTGTCATTGGTCAGTCAAACAGATAAGCCTGTCCAAATCGCACGCTATTGGTTGAGCCAATGTTGCTTGTTTGGGCAAGTCTGGATGCACAAACAAACTGATCAATGTTTTTATAGTGTCACAGAGAGAGACAGTGTTTAAAAACTTCCTGTCGACATGTCTCTAAAAGTTGTTATTAATATCCTTTTTTCTGAAAAAAAAAAAAAATGAGAAGAAAAAGCAAACAATCAAAACAAACTTGTCTTGAGTAACCTACACTGCTGTTTATTACTATAAGTTGGCAGAATTGTGTATGTAATTGGGCTGAGAGGTCTCTCCCTCTCACGGCCTTCTTGGCCTGGGACTGGGATTGAGCCAACTCCTCCTCCACTGACCTGAACCAGCAGCCAACTCAATTACGTTCCAACAAACCCTTCTCTCATTGTAGAGTACAGCCACATTGAGCATTTGAAGGCTATCCAGCATACCAGATGCATCAGTCAGACAGTGCTAATGTGAAACATCCAAGTTCTCAAGTATTGGTGTAAACACAAAAAGGGGCTGGAACACTCGGCTCATGTCCATGTTGTTTCTTTGACTCCAGCTCACCTATCTTTCTTTGGTCTTTCAGCTTGTTTTCTAACTCGAACATGAAACAAAACCATTTTAATCAAAAAGTGACAGAATGAAAAGCAATACCATTCAGCTGGGAGGATATGTACAGGATGAGAACTTACCGTAATAACTCCAACAGTAGTTGCAGACTGGTGGAATTAGTCTGCAAGCACCAAGATTTCAGTCAATATCGCCACCTCCTGGTTATGACTGGTAATGAGCGGCTCTTGTCTGTAACAGAATATATAATGTGATAAGATTATGATTATCTATTATGATAGATAAGATTAGATTCAACTTTATTGTCATTGTGCAGAGTACAAGTACAGAGCCCATGAAATGCAGTCTGGATCACCTACAGTATTCCAGTTAGGTTCTGATACTCATTGAACCTTAAACTTCTCAGAGAGACTAATACACAGGACATTTATTAAATAATAAAATAAAATAATTAGAATAATAATACAAACATAATTTAAAAAATAAATAAAATCACACACTCTTGAACACAGAATTTAAAAGAAAATAAATACAGATTTGACAAAGACATTTCACATGTTTTTAGTTATTTTAGTTGTCACGATAAGTTATTACTTTTTTTTTTAATCTATGCAGTATACTGTATAACAGTTATTTATTGTTCTGTATAGTGTGAGCACTGCTTTTGTACTGTATTGTATTGTGACAATCAATTTGTCATGGTTTTAATAAACATGATCAAGCATCATTTAAATATTTTATTAAATCAGATATAATAAAAGAGGTAAGAATATCCACTAAGACTGACAACTTCCATATCTGACCTCTCTGTCTCTATCTAATAAATAAAAGAATAAATAAAAGACAAATGTTTTTATTTCTTAGTGTGTTTGTGAATTATTCATATTATATTTATTGACCTGATTAATCTCCTCTTGAAGATTTTCCTTTAGACTGTGTATTCAACTACTCACTGTAAGGTCTGAATATTAATTAGATTTATGTTAATGTTATTGTTGTTCAGTAAATAATTTAATTGTTGGGGAATTAACAAATTGTGGACTTTTATCAGAACCATGAAAATCCAAAATACGTTTTAAGACCTTTGTTATAGAGTAGCTAAATGTATAGTTATAGAGTTACAGAGTGCATATTATTTACAGGTAAATATTTGCAACCAAATTAACTTGTCAACTCACATAGTAAGGCAGAAGTTTGTTCTGGAGATAGCGCGCTGAAAGTCTTCCGGTGGAGGACAGCAGGTGGTTTAAGTCATGTTTATCAGCTTTTTTTTGATAGCCAGAAAGTATCCTGTATAACTGTGATATTCACTTTCGCTACGAATTAAATTGGGAGTACAACCAGTTTTACATTTAAGGTAAATTTATTTTGTTTGCATCTGCAACAAGATTTGACCAAAGCTACCTAACATGCTAGCTAGTTTGCAAACAGGCGCCACGAAGCAGTCATCGTCACCATAGCAACTACAGAACTCGTAACACGCTAACCAATTAGCTGGTAAAACGTCACTCCCTATGGCTTTCCATTCAACAGGGCATTGTAACAAGTCGATTGGTGTTTTATCATAATTATATAAAATAATCCATTGCGCCTTTACCACATGCATCAGAAACATGCCTTTTACAAAATCAATGTTTGTTACAATAATGTCGCAAAATCAATAAATTAAATGTAAAAATGTTCATTTTAAAGAAAAAGGTAAGAAACATGCTAATTGGTTAAGTGTAAGTTGCCTTGCCATAGAGACGGTAAAAAGTATGTCCTGTCCTAGAGTCCTTATTTACAGTATTTACATTATAATTGCATGCAATGTATGTCCTGGGGGACCCCCAGTCCTGCACATTTAGTATGTCTCCCTCATCTAACACACCTGATTCAACTCATCAGCTCGTTAGTAGAGACTGCAAGAACCAAATTCGGTGTGTCTGATAAAGGAGACATACAAAATGTGCAGGACTGGGGGTCCCCCAGGACATACATTGCATGCAATTATAATGTAAATACTGTAAATAAATCAAACTAAATACTGTGGGGAAATATATTAATAAATATTAAAATAAAAAAATCTATTATCTTATAATAAACAGTGAAAATGTATATTATATTCACTATATATATATATATAAAGGCAATTATGTATTATTTTGTTGAAAACATGATATAGTTTAATATCTCAAACAGGCTGGTATTAACATTATATCATTTGAAGACATACGGTTATGCTAAAATATAGTCACATAAATGTAATCTAATACTGTTTACCTTTTTTTTTTACAAACATGTTTTTATTTTGTGTGATCTTATTATACTGCACTTTTGTCAGCACTTTTTGTCAGTAAAACAATTTGCTGTTTTTTTATGTGCTATAGAAACACGTGATTTGATAATGATTTTTATTTATCTGAAAAATATAAAGAAATTGTCTAAATGCAATTTCTTCATTTTTCCAATGATGATGTTTTTGATAAAATTCTGATGCTACATACAACCAAAGATTTATCATTCTGCAGTTTGTTTTGTGCATATTGCAAAAATGCACATCTGTCTCTTTTTTATTCAAAACTACGTAATGTCAGTGTTTTGGTGTCCAGTTGTTTATTTCCTAATAACGAAATAAAGAGTGCGTAAGTGTGTTACCTTTAAGCAATACAGACTGCAAATGTTTCATCATGGTGAGAGTTTGTCTCGATAGTGTGTCTCTTCTTCCCACGCGCCCCTCCCCCGCCTGTCCGCTCGCGCTGGCCAAAAATGTGAAACCAAATCCGAGCAGCAGGTCACAGAGCCTAGTTATTTTAAAACCAATACTCAACTACCTCGACAGGACCATGGAAGTAACGCGGAACGGGCAGTTTAAAGAAATAACCGTCGCCTTGAGAGACAGAGTAAAATGAGGGAGCGGCGATATGCTGCTTTAATGTTTATTGTTGTTGGGCTGCTCGTGCGTCTCCAATGTCTCTGCCCATAGTTCTGCCTGGATCTTGTTGTCGTTTATCGGGGGCTACTTTAGCCCATCAGTTCGCAGACGCATCTTACAGAAGCCGCAGCCGCCGTGTGTCCGCTCTTCCGTCCCGTATGTCTGGATCTCAGACGCGGCTCATCCCGGCGCTGCTGCCCGCACGCCCTCTGCTCTCCCTCGGCTTGCTGCAGCTGGTTCTCGGCGGCTCCATGGTGGCGCTCTCTTTCGGGGCTCTGTCCCTTAGCAACTCGCCCCCTATTAGAAACTCCTGTCCGTTTTGGTCCGGATCTTCTGTGAGTATTATATTACTAGCCATAAGGTGCTAATGCTTTTATTTTACGCCACATATCATGCATTCTACAGATATAAAAATGCATGCTTGTTAAAATGCCACTGTATAAGTGTACAGCTTTTCATCGATCCATTACAAACCAACAGGTGTAAAGGAGAAGTTTTATTGTGGTCTAATGTGGTCCAATGCAGTCTGATACAGAAACGTGGTGCTGCACTTTTAGTTCAGTCTATTTCAGAGTATATGAGCACAACACACACTGTTGTTTACCAATAATGCACTATGCACTAATATTTGTAAATTATTAGTCGAGTACCAATGTCCAGTTGTTGCCCTAAGGAAAAAGTTTCTGCCTGATCTCTCGGTGTAACCTAATGCAGTTGGGTTGATTCAGTCAAATGAAATAATAATTTAACTGGAATTTGACCAGTTAATTCAGATGTTACCACATTAAGCACATATTTAGGATTAACATTTTTACAGTGTACAGTTTACAGTTATACATGTTTACAGTATACCGTTTCACAGTAAGGCGTAATATCCAATCCAGTAACTAGATTTCAGTGAATGTCATTTAATTTAAATAAAAAAATTGATTATCAGATTTATCAGTCAATATCACATGAATGATTATTTTGATCCTGGCACAGTCACCAGACTTTTAAGCTTGTTTACATACATTATTATTTATGCATGTGGCTATTATACACAGCAAATGACAATGTTTTAACTTTTAATAGCTTTAAACTATTAGTCACTCCCAGAATAAAAGTTTCCTGATGATTTACTCACCCCCACGTCATCCAAGATGTTCATGTCTTTCTTTCTTCAGTCAAAAACAAATGAATGTATTTGTTCTTTTTCTCCATATAATGGACTTCAATGATGGCCAACGGGCTGAAGGTCCAAATTGCAGTTTCAGTGCAGCTTCAAAGGGCTCTGCATGATCCCAGCTGAGGAATAAGGGTCTTGTGTAGCGAAACAATCAGTAATTTTCTAAAAAAAAAAAAACATATATATATATACAGTATATATAAATTATATACTTTTTAACCACAAATGCTCGTTTTTATTCTGGAAGGGAACTAATCCTTACCTTTTTAACATCTTGAGATTCTCCAGATTCCTCTTAAAGCTGCATTCCGTAACTTTTTTTGGTTAAAAATGATCCAAAATCAATTACATAGCAAGTACATAACCAATCAGTGTTCAAAACTATCTCCTTACTTTAGCCCGATTCACAACTTCTTCACATTATTTAATTTCACTTAAAAAAAATTGCTATTTTCCAGATTATTTATTCCTGTGATGTGAATGGCTTTTTTAAAAGTTCAAATATTTCTTGTAGTCTTTACATTAAAGCTGCATTAGGTAACTTTTTTTTGTTTCAAAATTATCCAAAATCAAATATTGACCAAAACATAACCAATCAGTGTTCAAAACTATCTCCTTACTTTAGCCCGATTCACAACTTCTTCACAAAACTTCTTATTTTGGACATACTTCTAAGACGTAAGGTGCGTCCCAAATCACATACTTGTGCACTATTCTATGACGTTTTTAGTATGAATAGTGCAAGTAGTGCATTCACACTGAAAATTCCAAAAAGAAAAAGTGCACTTTAAATACCCGGATGATGCACTTAAATAACTGAAAAAATGAAGTGTGAAATGTTGCACACTTCATGCACTCAACTGTCGCAGCTTTAATTACGTAGCGAAGAGGGAGCGGCTATCAGACTCCGATTATGAATTACAAAATAACCTTATTTAATTCATACACTAAATGGTTGAGTACATAGTGTATGAGTGCATAGTGTGTAGTACTGTACGTCATCTGGGACATAGTATCTGTAATTCCGAAGTACAGTGAATATCCACACCATGATCCACAAACCTTAAAACATTAGATTCATCCGCGCTGAGGAGCCGTGCCGATGCACAACCCACGTAAAGAAGATAATTCCGCAAATAACTGAAATTGCAAGTCTCAAACAGAGATGGCGACAAAGAGGCAAAACTTACAGACTGCAGCTTTAAGTTTTTAGATATTTAGAAATGATCCTAGTTCTATGGTGGAATCCAGCCAAAGATATCCTCAAAAGTACAATTTACAATATTATTTCCCGTATTTAAGTGTGGTTAATATTTGTGGTCACTGGCAGGAGTTGAGTGATGTTTTGGCTAAGTGTGAATCTCTACTGCTTAACACTCTGTAGTGAGCAAACAACAGTTAACTTGAGCTAATGTTTATTTATAGATTTGAACTCCATTACTGATGAATAAAATAAATAAACAAAAAAATAAAAAACTCTGAAAACTCATATAATTGAAATAATTGTGACATTTAACAATGATGGAAATGATAATGATGAAAGCATTTAGAGTGTAATATTGTAATGCTGATTCACTCTTACTACAGAATTTTGTTGATTTGAATAAAATTAATGAATGTAATTATTTTTTATTGTGTACCTCACACAAACATTTTACAGTTAAAAAGAGCTAAACAAAAGAACCCATCAGTTGATGTAATTGACAGGAAGTGGCAGTGAAAGAGGAAATGAGAGGGAGCCGAGTATGGACAATGGTATTTGAATGAGGCTGCTTGAACGAGTCAATAAAACAGGATTTAAAAGTGCTGAAGGCCATTTTGAGCACGTGCAGCATCTGATGGGTAATAATGGGTTCATTATCAGTTAATCTGTCTGTGAGTGTTTGCCTCTTTGCTGAACAGACTGATTGTTTTCTGCAGGTCATCCTATCTGGGATTATAGGACTAACCACATGGAAACGGCCAATGCTTCTGCTGGTATGTGTGTTTTGCCAATATAAGACTGATGGTCTTTAAAGCAGTAGTCTTTATGTTCCCATTTTAATAAGCAGATGAATTGACTTTACTTGAAAGTGGGGTTACACTTTACTTGAAGGGGTGTGCATAAGACTGACATGAAACCTTCATAATCATGACATGACACCTACATAATCATGACATGACACATGTCATGAATATGAAGGTTTTTTATGCATGTTTATGACAACTGTCATTAAGTGTCATTCGCTCAGTTATGTAATTTTTAATGCAAAGATTGTGTCATGTCAGTCGTATGCACACCCCTTCAAGTAAAGTGTTACCGAAAGTGGTTATATGATGTTTACTACACTAAATTAGTCCTGTGTTGACCTAAACATATGTTTTCAGGGTAATCTTCTGCATGCCCGTGTCCTTATGTTAAAGGGGCAGTTGTTAGGCTCTTAAAAGACCCCTTAAATAGGATCTGTGTCCACCAGACATTCAGTTAAGACCTTGTTAATTAAATCTTAAGCTGACCATGAGCTTCTGCCTGCTGCCATTCATATACACTACAGTTCAAAATTTTGGATTAATTAATATATATATATATATATATAT